GGATAGATAGATCGATAGATAGATAGATAGATAGATAGATAGATAGATAGATAGATAGATAGATAGATAGATATAGAGAGAGAGAGAGAGAGAGAGAGAGTTTTTATGATTGCAGCCGTGACCAAATTAAGGCATACTGTAGCCAAAATGCTATACAACATAAGTGTCAACAACCCACTCAGATACTCTTCAATCTTGCATAGTCACAACGTGGACAAATTTCACGTTACCAACACAGTGGCCAAATTCAAGTCCAAATATGAAACGCAAGCACTGTGTCACATAGCCAAACTCACCCACCACCATAAAAGAAGCAAATGCAACAACAATGATCTTTAGGAATCATCTTTATTGGCCAAGAACATATACACATTTAAGGAATTTGACAAATGCTGTGTACAGAATAATCCATTTTACATATAAAGCCCAATATCACAAATCACAGTTTGCCTCACAGGGCTTCACAGCATACGACATCCCTCTGTCCTTAGGACCCTCGCAGTGGATAAGGAAAAACTCCCTCCCAAAAAAACCTGTTTAACAGGGAAGAAAAATGGTAGTAACCTCAGAAAGAGCAACAGACCGGACTGTTGCAGTGCCGATTCATGTGGCGCAAGCAGTGCAAAGCCAGTCCTGCTCTGGTGAGGGCTGTCCAACACACTGTGAATGGTACCACAGACAGCAGGTGGTGCACTCAATCTAAAAAAAAGAGAAAAGAGACCTCAGAAGCTAAGCAGTGTGTCAGGTAATCATTCATCCCAGGAGGTTGTACAATTAAACAGTTAATGAGAAATCATGATAATGCTTAGAATTGTATGGCAATGTCTGTCAGATACTAGACTTAAATCTTAGCTGTGGTCGTCTGTGTTCTCATGTTCCCTCAGCTGCTCCAGTGACCGCTGGAGTGCAAGACATGCAGGTTAAGTAAATTAAACTACACATTAACAATAGCTGTGTGACTGAGTGTTCACCCAGTGACGGTGAGGTAACCCATCCAAGGTGCATCCAAGGTGTCCAACCAACGTTGGCCGGTACATGAATTAATCTCTTTGCCCACTCGTCCATCGCAACCCCGGAGCTTTCCTACCCACAAGCCCGATACAGCTGGGATAGGTCATCTACAACACAGGCATACATATAGTCCAGTTGCCATTACAGACACAAACAAGTAAACCTGCAAGAGTCCTTTGTACCTGTATTTGCCAGCAGAGCTTTAACCATGTCCATCCTTAGCATGGCCACACCCTCCTGGTCCACTGCATAGTCAATCTGCTGGGCCAGCAAAATCTGCTCTGCAAGCTAAAAGTCTGATGAGTATAATTTGAATGACTCTTTAATGACAGGCACAGAGATCACTGAGTCATTACCTTGCACACAAACACCCCACATGATGTTGTGTCCTGCTGTTTTGTATGGGCCACTGTAGAACATGTCCACCTACCAATAGCAGGACACTTCTGGCGAACCAGTGCCCTACACAGAACACAGATTGACCACAGTCAGGAAATTGTAACATAAGCCCAGGTAAGAGGATTTTAAATTTAAGACCACTTGAATTGTGTTAAAGGCCCTCAAAAGGACAAGCTTATGCCAGTCTAGTGAAATAGTATAGTCATAAGGGAAATGATGTAATTCGCCTGTTGCTCCCCCAAGGTTATCCAAAATGCATGAATACATACATGTCTAATGCACAAATTACAGCTGATTCACCTTGTTACATGTTGACATCTCTCAATCTGTTGCTGAGTGGCACCAAACGGATCAAGGTATAAGGACCTCATCTCCTTCAGGTACATGATCTATGGAAATGCAAAACAAATATTAGCAACCCCTCAAACGTAAGTGTCATTATTGTGTCCACATCTGTTAACATTTAGGAATACTCACAATGAGTGTCCAGTGTCCTTCATGACAGACTGCTCCTGCAGCCACATCACGATCAAGGGCCAACTACAACAAAAATCAAATAAGATATACAATATATATCTAACTGAGAAAAACTCACTGGATTGCAAAGGCATAAAAATGAATCCTACTCACCCGTTTCAAGCCTGTCTGTTTGCCCTGCCACACTGCTGTCATTGCATAGCTGTCTATAATGACAGCACCACTCTTCCTCCCAACCATTGTTAGGTATGCATTAATGATCTATGAAAACAACAATGTGATTATTCTGTAACGACACACATCAGTCAAATAATTTTTCTTTAAAGTAGGCTACCTGACTTTCCAACTCCTTTCCTGGGCCCAGGTACAAGAGGTTCTCCATATATAATTTATATGGCCCCAGCCTTGACCAGAGTGTGGTTCTTCGCCTTCCTGCCCATACGTCTCTGATTACTGTAAAATAAAAATAAAAAACATTGTTATGGCAGTTATTCATGAATTGGATAATTTGGGGTGTACTCTATCAGTGTACCTACAAATATCTGCACTGAGTGGAGGTCCTTGGGCTTTGCAGCTCGTGGTTTGCCTTGCTGGGGGTGTGACTGATGTGGTGGGTGGGTCAATGTGGGGACCAGCCAGAGGAGTAGGATCAGACAATTTTTTGATTTTGGCAGGGATCCTCTCCTCTGGCTGGAAGTAATGAGTCAAGTGGTCAATGTTGACTCTTGATTGTTTCCCCCTCTCTGACACCAGGTGAGCAGTCTTCTCCTCCAGCTTTGATATTTTGAAAGGTCCCACCAAACTGGCCTCCAGTTTGTCCCCTTTTCTCATGGCCTGCCGCACTTTTTTTTTTCAGAACAAGGTCCCCCACTTTAAAATTGTCTGCCTGACCTCTGTCCTCCTTCCTCTTGCAGACCTTTTGTTGTTTGGCCTTGATATTTATCTCTTTGTAGATTGTGGCCTGATCTCCAAGTCCCTTGCAGATCTCCTGTCTTTATGAGGTTGCAGACCTTCTCTTCGGTCACCTGCCAGGAAGAAATCAGTGACATTGTAGGGGGACACAGATGACCCAAATTCAAACCCCAAACAGATGAGAACAATTGGCAGTCTTACTTCATACTCATTTGAGACCTCTGAGGGATACCTGGCCTCCCTCCCAAACATCAGGTAATACGGGCTGTATTGTGTAGACAGCTGCTTCTTGGTCCTCAAGGCAATGGTTGGCTGGAGATACTGGTCCCAACGGTTGGGGTGCTCAGCCACCAGTTTGTTCAGGGACCTTAAAATGCAGAATTCAGGTACATGCATGAGGAGGCAGAAGATAATTTGGGTTGTCATGTATGATAATGCAACCCTTTTCCAGATAGTGCCATTAATGATTACCTGTTCAGACTGCAACAGGACATAAGTGTGTTAGGCTATTAAGGGCTCAAGTTCAAGTACTGACAACAAAACTATACCTCTGTATCGTGCCATTCAGCTTTTCCACAAGGCCATTGGTCTGCGGATGGTAAGGGGAGCACAGGCTCCTCTTGATGCCCAGCCTCTCACACAGACCATAGTTGACCTTGAAATGACCATTCAAATGAACATGAGCTGAGCTAGCACAGCAAAAGTTAAATGTTGGTGATCCATATTGCATAATCACTATACCTTGTTGCGAAATTCTGAGCCTTGGTCTGTTAGCAGCCTGTTGGGTGCACCAAATTTGTAAAAGAAATCAAGAATACGATTTGTCACCTCGTCTGCTGTTTTGCTTTTTAGTGGGTATGCCTCTGCCCATTTGGTGAAATAATCAACCATGACACATATGTACTGGTTGCCACCATCTGTTACATTGAGTTTACCCACCAAGTCCATTCCAACCAGGTCGAGAGGCTCGGTTACCTGGGGAGGAAGAAACAATCATGAGTATTGCAGTATCACTACTGATGTGATTGAAAGATTTGACTGCATGTCATATGTAATTTACCTCTATTGGATTGTACTCCTGCTTTTCCTTGATGGTAGCCCTCCTGGCCTGGCACTGGGGACACTGAGCAATCTAAACAGACAAAGATTGTAACATTGAGACAAAT